GTTCACCTGGATGTGCTCAGTGACCAGAGAATCCACATCTAAACCCTTCAGTTCAGTATTATTCTCAGCAATTTTAAGCATGTGCAGCAAAAAATCAGCACTCTTTTTGGGCCACTAAGCCTGGGTCCAAGCCCATGTGGCCTGGGTTTACTTATCAACCTCACTACTGCAACATCAGAAGGGCACACACTGCTTCTGCCAAGTGACATCTTTCAAATACTAGGTGGCTTTCCTAAATGGACTCAGAGATTGGACTGTCTTGAGTTACATGATTTTGTGGGGTTTTCTGGGTCAACTGAGGAGTGAACCACTTTGGCAGATCACCTCTGGCTGCTACATTTTAATCCCAGTGTATGCAACCATCTTGATAGTCAAAATATGATACTTATTTGACCTTTAATAGTTGAAAAGGGTACTAGTTATATAGCAGACCATTAGATATTTTCCTGTGAAACAATTTCTGACCATGTTTTTGTAAAATATATATGATGTAAAAAACGAAACAGAAATGGCAAAGCATGAAACTTAAATGTATCTCCAGTGTTAGTGCAATAAACTATTTCCAACCTCCTGTACCAAGAAAATCCTAGGCAGTATACTAATCAATGGGCTGTGTCCTGACAACACATTGCTAATTTTTCATTCACCACTTTATGGATATAAAGGAGCCCTAATGGCGTAGTGAGTTATGCACGGGCTGCTAACCCCAAATTTACCTTTCTTTTGGGGATCGGACTCTGTATCCAGAGTTTAAAGACATCTCAGGTTAGTATAGCAGCATGTACCTTCCAGCCTTTACTTCCAAAAGGTAAGTAAATCTCTACTGAAGGTATTCACCATTTTTTTTTCTTTTTGTAAAGCACAGGTCTCAAAGAATTTCCACTAATGAAAGCTGAAGATACATAATATAGGTTAATTAAATATCCCATGGAAAAACAATCAACTACAGATCCACAAAAAACACAAATATTAGGAGCACATATACCTATATAAGAAGGAACCTCATGTATGAGCCCCCAATAAAATGATTTTTTTAAAAAGAAGGAATCTCAAAAACGTTAGAGGAAAGTCCTGTTTCCTTTTAATTCTATTTTCCCACAAAATTTTAAAAGACCACTTCACATCTTCAAAGCCAGCTTAGCATAGTCAAGGATTCAAACATCCAAAGGGCACCCACCACCCTTTGACTAAGATGGGAAGCCAATGAAAGTAACCAGAAAACGCACAGAAATGAAAAGAATGCCACTAATTTGGCAAAACGTGTGCAGCGCAGGCTGGATGGAGATTTACAACTCTGAATGGAGCTACAACAGAAGCGCAGGAAGACTGAGGAAAACTGCATCTAATCGCCTCCAGCTAATTAGTAATATAAGGCACAGTCGACTTACAGCCACTGGATCCTTCCGGTGCAGCTGGGCAGCTGTGACTTGTGTGAATCCACCCGGGTAGCTGTGGAAGCAGCACAAATGGTGAACGTGGAGGCGGCCACGGTACAGTCTTCGCACACCGAACATCGCTTTAATGACTGCTTAGTCGAGTTATTTTTACTGTAACATCCTAATTGTTTCTAGAACCGTGTGCCGTACATTAAGTATCGTAAGAAGGCTATTGGAAATATCCCCCCTTAAGTGGTCAACAACTGTTTCATAAAGCTTTAGGTCTTAAAACAATTTTTGCAGATGTGTATTTCCATCGGGATTTTAAGTTATTCACCACACATTCTCTCATTTTATTTTCAGGGCGGCTTTTTTAATGGCTTGCAATTAAAAGAACAAAAAGCTAGAATATTTCACAATCCTGGCAAAGTATCTTTTTGAGCCGAGTAGAAGGCTTGGACAACAAATTGGTTATCCTACGTGGTCCTGATGTCAACTTCAAATTCAAACAGATGACTTTTTGTTGTTGTTACAGTTGGTGAAAGGCCACAGAGGTGGAGAAGATCATGCTGGCTCTAAGTTGTGAAATATGATTGCTCTGTGTTCATATCAAACACGGTAGGCAAAATTGGAGATTAAAAAGAAAAGATTAAAACAAAACAAAACAAAAAAAAAATAAAATAAAAAAAATAAAAAAAAATAAAAAGAAAAGATTTGGGTCAATATAGGATACATCTTAGTAACTTGGATAGCAAAACTCAGGTCTAGAATATCTAGATATCATTGGCTCCCTGTATAAAACCAGGCAACTCATTTTCCCTTCTAAATATTCAGCAGGAAGACAACGCATCTGGCCCATCCGCCCCAAAGGGCTTGAATGACGGTCAAGTGAGAAAATATAAAAGTGCAAAGAAAAATTAAAACAATACAAAAATACAAATTTTACCCTGAAAGGTGGAAAAACAACAAACCAAACAACTTTTGGGGAAGGGAACACTCTCTTGAAAAGATGATGGGTGCTGAAACCTTAGAGGCTCTGTGACTCCTCCCATATGTTTCTGTAAGTCACACTTACAAGCATTTTAAACATGATGTAAGAACTATGCTTTAGAAGTGAAAAAGCATTTAAGAATTAAATCTAAAGTTTGCCGAGAAAGGGGCTAGTTCTTAAATTCATATAGTTTGATTCATTTGGTGGAATTTCAGTTCAGACAAAGCAACACCTATCTAGGCTTCCTGGTTGGAAAAAATGCCTTCCCAACTTCTATACTAAAAATTCTCTATTTTTAACACTGACAGGGCAAATTCTAAAAGCACACTACCATTTGCACTATATGTCAGGAGTCTGGAATTTATCCTGGAAGATAGAGATTGCTAATGACAAAATCAGAACTGGGGAATGACTTGAATAATGCAAAGCTCAGGTGGTTTTTATTGATGAAAAAACACTGACATTTCTTCCACCAGGGTGGGTAGCCTGGATGGAGGAGAAGGAAATGTGTTATAAATGTTAGCCAAGAGTTTTTCAATTAAAATGAATTCAATCTACAGTTCCTAGGAGTCCTTGGTGGTATAGGGGGGGTACACTGGGTGGCTAACTGCAAGGACAGCAGTTCGAAACCACCAGCAGCTCCATGGGAAAAAGATGAGGCTTTTTACGCTGGGACAGATTTCCGGCCTCAGAAATCTACAGGGCAGTTCTGCTCTGTCCCACAGGGTGCTGAGTTGGATTCTTTTTGATGGTGGCGAGTCTGCTGGTTGGCTTGTGAGTTATGCGGGAGCATACAGACTAACGATGACACGACCTGGCCCTCAAGAAATGAGAGCAAATTGTGTAGAGGTAATCATTTTTGAAAATACATGCTTTCCCTTTTTAAATTAGCTAATTACTATGGCTAAATTAATATCTTTAAACGGGATTATCTTCCTTACCCAGTATGAGAGGAGTATACTTTTTGTTCCCATTTGTTCCCAGAAAATGCGATGTGTCTTGTGTTCATTATGACAACGTGATCCCCGCAGTCACCTAGATTTCAACAGAGACATACAAAACGGAAGGAGTGAAGAGACTTTATAGGAGAAATCATGATCTGTAGAAACAGTGGCCTTGGGTATTTATCAAGCAAATCAAAGGCTAAAGAAAACATTATAACATATAAAGCAAATCATAGCACTAAACCAAAATCTTTGAACAGATTCCTGTTACTTTTAGAAAAAAATTTAAAAATATATCATTTTATTGGGGGCTCTTATAACTCTTATAATAATCCACACATCAACTGTATCAAGTACAGCTTTTGTACCAATTGTATCAGCTCCTCTTCTTTCCCCTGCTGCCTTCTGTTACTTTTTAACGGACCAGCGTTGGCTGGCCATTTAAAGAGTCTTTTACAGCAAGGTAAAGAGAATCACAAAAGGTGCCAATAACAACAATACATTTTACAAAGGCAAACTTACATTACTTCAAGTATCACTTCTTGTTAATGTTTCTATTACTAAAAAACGTTTCAATGACATACTTATAAGGAATGGATAAAAATTTCCCTTAAAAATAGAAGAGAAAATGAAAACAATATGACACAGATGTAAACAGGCATGCTTTGCCATAGGTAAACTGAAAACAAATGTAAAACATCACAACTGGTTATTCTTCTCAAACTTGGAGAACAATAAAATACTCTGGTCATACATGAAACTGTGGCCAAGGTTTACCAACCACGTTTAGCTAGTTAAGTTTAAACTAGCACTGTCAGATAATCAGAAGCATGTATTTTATGTCTTAAAAATAAGCTTTAAGACATGAAAAAAAAGATAAATTATCAAGCGTTCATGAGGGAGGGAGAGTAGGGGAGGGGGAAAATGAGCTGGTACCAAGGGCTCAAGTAGAAAGAAAATGTTATGAAAATGATGGCAAAATTTGTACGAATGTGCTTGACACAATGGGATGTATGTATGGATTGCTATAAGAGCTGTAAAATCCCCCAATAAAGTGATAAAAAAAAAAAGCTTTAGATGACTCTAGAAATTATTTAAGAAAAATAACTCAAAATTTTTGTAATAAGTAATATAATAAACAATAATTAAACAATGTAATATTTTTAAAAGAAGAACTGTAAAGAAGTACAAGGTATGAAAATGAGATTACATTACAGGATCCTATGCAGAGCTTGACTATAAACAGCACAATTGGAAGACAGAGGTTCATAATGAATACATTTACTCCTAACCTGCTGACATGGTTAGCTTCCTAAGACCAAGTCATTAAGCAAAATATAGAGGATGACCACATTCTATTGCAAAATGAAGGATGGCCACATCGTTATGTAACTGAGTACTTATAAATGCATGAGGGAACATCAAAAAGTGTGAGGGAAAGTTCCATTATTTTTTTTTAATTGGGGGAATTCCATTATTTTTATTTCTAATTTTCCATCAACTTTTTGAAGCCCCCTTGTCTAAGTACCAGAAAGAAGAATAACAGAGATTGGATGAGACTATCCTTCTAACCTTTGTTGCATTGTTTGGTGAACTAACATTCTTAACGTTAACCTTTGAGAACTGTATGCATCTTTTATCTTATTTCATGAAGACCCGAAGTCTTTTATAAGTAAGAACTATTTGGGAGTTCTTCATATTTTGTGGGGATAAATTAGAAGTATAAATGTCCACATCACCACCTCACTTTAATAAGGATGGAAGACTCTGAAGTCATGTATCCACAGAGTATCATGATCCAGTAATTGCAATAATACATAGTTTTAATAATTCAGATATGTCCTGCGCTACATATTGGGAATACAGAAGAAAAAGACAAGTCACTGGCTGCAGCCTATGAAGTATGTGGCATATTTTACGTGTAAAAGTCTAATGACTGTGTATAATAAAGCATTTTTATCAACACATATCACTTAGAAACATCTTCCCATTAAGTATAGTTGCCTTCTTTCATGTAAATCTTTAATCAAAACGTTCCTCATTATTAGATACTATGCAAAACTGTAAAGTTAAAAAATGCCATCACATATCTATTATACTTTAAGTATGCTATTCAAATTAACAGGTCTTTAAAAAAATACCCCATTATAAAAATGTCACAATGCCATCATTTTAGGCCTATTATAATATGCAGCAATGCTTGAGGACTTGTAGTAGATTCTTAGATATGCAATCACATCAAAAAATAAGAAGTTTATGGAGACCCAATGCCCATCTCTAGACAACCGGACATACCTTGCAGAGGGGTAGTGGGGAGATGAGTCACTTAGGGTACAGTATAGCAATAATGAAACCCACAACCTTCCTCTAGTTCTTAAACGCTTCCTCCCCCAACTACCAGGACCCCAATTTTGCCTTGCAGACCTGGCTAGACCAGATGATGCACAGCGGTACAGATGGGAATTGGAAACGCAGGGAATCTAGGACAGATGAACCTCTCAGGACCAGGGGTGACAGTGGCGATACCAGGAGGGAAAGGGGGTGTAGAAAGGGGGAATTGATCACAGGGAGCTACATATAACCTCCTCTCTGGGGGACGGGCAGCAGAGGGGTGGGTGAAGGGAGATGCCGGGCAGTATAATATGAGATATAATAATAATTTATAAATTATCAAGGGTGCATGGGGGAGAGGGGAGGAGGAAGGGAGGGGGAGGGGAAAAAAGGAAAATGAGCTGATTCCGGGAACCCAAGAGGAAAGCGAATTTTGGGAATAATGAGGGCAACAAATGTATAGAAGTGCTTTACACAATTGATCTATGTATTGTGATGAATTGTATGAACCCCAATAAATTGATTAAAAAAAAAAGAAGTTTCAGTCCTTGACATATGGTATGAAACGGAAGACTAGAAAGGATTCACAATTTTAAAATCCACTAAAAAGTAAGTGCTAGCACTCACTAAACATCTCCACTCTGATCATCTGCGACTGGACAGGTGAATGCATATGGTGTTGTCTTAATTAACTTTCTCTATTTTATTTGTTGGGTTGCTAACCACAAGATTGGCAGTTCAAAACCACCAGGTGCTCCTCAGGATAAAGATGAGGTTTTCTATACCTATAAAGACTAGAGCCTTGGAAACACATAGGGTCAGTTCTTCCATATAGGGTGGCTATGAGTCGGAATCTACTCAATGGCTTTACTTCTTTAGGATCTAATATCCATTGCAATAGCAACATAGGACCCACAGACAAAATTCATGATTAATGGGTTTATTAAGGACGTGAACAGGTTGTAATGCTCGTGGGCAGTGCTCAGAGTAGAGGTATTTATCAGGGACATGTCACAAAGTTCTTTTAGATCGGCTTATAAATACCCAAATGGGGATACCACTCTGCTGGAAGCAATGTGAAGGTGTTCAGCTTCTGCTCCACGGGTCAGCAAACCCAGCCTTCTGCATTAAGTGCTCAAAGGCACCCCACACTAGTAAGCTTGAGCCTCAAGGCACTCAGCTCCACTTCTGTGGGTCAGTAAACCCAACTCCCCCAACTCAGTGCTCAGGGGCACCCCACTCCATAAGCCAGCCTCCTGCACAAAAACACTCAGCTTTCCTTGCTCCACGGGTTGGGAAGTCCACCACACTGTTTCATGTTCTGACTCCCGGGTCTGTTGCTGCTCTTCTTATGTTACAGCTGCCTTCTGAATCCAGAGGGTAATTGTGCAGTAATCTCAGGTCTGGGGTACACACTCCACTCCCGGCTCTCCCTGGTAGTGGGAGTCACTTTACACACAGCAGGATGGCACTTTAGGGAATCCTGTTCACAATGACTCACAGATGAATCTTCTCAGTATCTTTCCGCACCTTACCAGATCCACGCAGGAAAAGGTCTTTTCTTCTTCATTCCTCCCACCCCTTTGACCAGGATTCTTCTACAGAATCTTGATCAAAACATCCAGTCATGGGAGCGGGGCACTATTCAGCTCGGCTGCTCTCATAGCAAAGGCCACACATTGCATAATCTCCTCCTATACTGGACTCTCCTGTATCCATTGCTCTACGTGAATACTAATTATGTGAGGGGGTACCCCCCAAAACCGAAAAAAGATATCCGCTGGGCGGAGCTTTCATAGTATGCATTTTCCCCACTAGGTGAGCACAGAGCAACTCGCTCCGAGTTAGTGCACCCAGTGGCATCACCTAGGAAATTTCTCTCTGGTCTCTGAATTTTTTCATAAAAGCAGTTTTGCTCAAACATTGTTTTTTGTAATGTCCAATTTAAGAGAACAGCATGTGGCTGTGCAATTCTGCTTCCAACTCGGGAAAAATGCCGCAGAAACTGTTGTGAGGTTGAACACAGCTTACAAGGACAGCACTATGGGAAAAAGTCAAGTGTACGAGTTATTTTCTCGTTTCAAGAAAGGTGAAGTGTCGATTGATGACAAACCTCATTCTGGATATCCGTCAATTTCCCTAAGGACAAAAGCGTTGATTTGTAGTGTATTTGGAGTTCACTCCACCAGGTCAGACTGTTAATCAAGCTTTCTATTTAGAGGTTGGGAAAAGATCGCCTAACTGTGTGCAACAAAAAATGCCTGATCTGTGACAATGGGGGACTGGTTTTGCCACCACAACAATGCACCTGTTCATGCAGCCATCTAAGCGTGCCAGTTTTGGGCCCCCAAAAAACAAACCCCATGCCTCTCTTCCCCCATGCACCTTACTCACCTGACCTCATTCTATGTGACTTCTTTTTGTTTCCACAAGTGATGAGGGGCATGAAAGGATAGTGCTTTGATGATGTAGAAGAGGTGACAAAAAAAACCAAGGGAGGTGCTGTCCGTGATTCAAACAGATGAGTTTGAAATATGTTTCCAAGAATAGAATCACAGATTTGACAAATGTATTATGTGTAATGGAGAGTACTTTGAAGGTGATAAGGTTGTTTTGTAAAATATTTAAATTCATAGCTTTGAAAAGAAAATTCCAGTTTTTGGGGGGTACCTCCTCATATCGTGGAGAACCCAGGAACAACACAAGGAAAAAGGAAGTAGAGCACTATGCACGTTACTAGGTCAATTACCTGGGATATTCCATGAAAACGTGACCCTAACCTCCAATGAATCAAGTCATATGAGGTGACTGGTTGTACATTGAGCTTCTCTCTCTTGCCATTGTTGTTAACTACATCTGTAACACAACCTTTCCAACTCAACTTTTACAGGTGTACAACTTATTGACACAATTTTTGGAATTGGCTATAAACCAAAACTCAGTACTCCATAAACAAGAATTCCTCTTCTCCCCTCCCTCTTGGCTCCTGGTAACCACTAATAAACTTTGTCTTCCACAACATCTGTACTATTTTGTATCTCCACCAGTAATAGATGAAACAAAACAAAACCCCTCATAAATATATCTTAAGAGTGACCCTGTTGGACAGGATATAATTGCAATATAGTGTTTCCAAGACTGTAATCTTTATTGGAGGCGGTGGCTACCTCTTTCTCTGGTGGAGGGGCTGGTGGGTTTGACCCAACTTTTTGGTTGGCAGCTGAGTACCTTTGACCACCGAACACCACGGCTCCTGAGCAATGGATAAGGGCCCCAATTACCCCACACCCTCTCCAACATGTGTGATTTACTGATCTTTTTGACACATTAGCCATTCTAGTGGAAATGCAGTGGTATCTCATTGTGGTTTTGATTTGTATTTCTTTGATGACTAATGATGTCGGGCATCTTTGCAACTCTTTGATGGCTAGTGTGGTTCTTTATGCATAGTTGACACTGTAAATGTTTGGAACATTTTATTGCTATCAGACTGTTTCAAGTACTAGAAAGTTGGTTAAATGTAATACTTTAGCTTAACCTAAAAAAAAAAATCATTGAACACTTTCAACCTGAAAAATGTTAAATGGTTAAAATGAAGAATTTTCAAAGAGCTTAGTGTACAGAGTGAATCTGGCTTTTGTGTTTCTGCAAGCATTTTGGTAGGATTCAAGAAGCATTTTGGCAGAAACATTTTGTTTCAGGCTGTTGCGTCTTTTCCGTCCCCTTATATGCTATCACTGTCAGGTGTTCTACAGCTCATCAGAAGCAGCTCTCACTGGGTGAACTGTGTGAAAGTACTCATAGTTAACAGTTGTGTGTAAAAAGCAGAAATTAGTAGCAACAGCTCTGTAATTCTGCTAAGGTAATTCTGACATCAGAATTACAATTATATTAATGTAATTAATGTAATTGATCCTTTTCTAAAACCCTTTAGCTAGGCTATGGAGAGGTTCCCCAGCCTCTTTAACATATGTTCATAGCTCATTCATTTCAGCAGTGAAAGCAGTGAGCGTCCTACTCATGAGATCACCATGTGCCCTTTCTTGCTTGTCCATGAATTAAAAACACGTTCAAAGAGCTCCCTAGGTACAAATGCTGGCCGCGGGCTCCAAGGAGGTGGGAAGGACTCTTTCCACTTCCATATCATTTCCCGCTTGAACTGCCCACATGTTCTATAAAAAAAGCATCTTTGACAGAGCGATCGGTCGCTTTCCCAGAACAGCTCACACAGGTCCACTGAACATATCACAGAGTTCACACGTTCTGGATGTTTTCTTCAGCCCCTTTCTGGCTTAACGATCAGTATTTATAATAGAAGGAAATAGAGCCACCAATAATAATACCAATTTTCCAGAAAAGTATAAGTCAATTTTCAAATATATTGTTTA